CCCCCCCCCCATCAGCAAGGAAGCTGGTGTAGCAAGGTATGGGGGGGAAAATGGAAATCCTGTCACAATGATGGCTATATTATGGATCATCTCTTGGGAGTGGGAACACAACCAACAAACTTTCCTTAAATGCATGCTAAAAGTCATATCACACCACACCACCACACAGGAGGGGAAGGGAAGAGCATCTAGGTTGTAACAAGAAAGAAGGAAGGAAGGAGTAAGGTTATTTTTAAGTCGGATCAATAAATTCCTTTCTGCTCCCTGCTGTCTTAGGTTATATATCAAGGGAGGATCATTTTTAAACATGAATGCACAAAAGGTGAAAAAGCAAAGGGTGTTTTAAACGGCCTCTGCTTCAACCCTTGCTCTACTGATTTGTTTGCAGACTAGTATTTCTTCAGAGCAGATTATTTCCTGTACAGATGTGCAAGAGTGCAGTTTGAGATCCATAGGAATTAGCAGTAGAAAAAACTATAGATCACTGTTAGGAATCGCTTCAAACTTGGAGAACTTTAGAACCTCAGCCTCCTTTGAGACTGACATTGGCCTAGAACAGAGCAGCCTCCTCTTCCTGTTGTTTTCTGGGGACTCTTCAATTACCAGGAAGAGCCAGAGTTGCATGTTTATTGCCTCCTCTAAGACAAAGTATTTTTTGACGAGGGCAGGAATATGGCTTCCTGCCACCTCTCTTTCCTTCCCATCAAATAGGAAAATGCAGCCTCCTTCAACTAACCTCAGAGAGCTTGTAATCTCCACCCAGGCCTTCTTCATACTCGCTGTGGGTCTTTGCCCTCAGTAGTGTCACATTCCCATGATACTTTGACTCTGGCACATACTTGTCGGCAGCCTTCAGTTTGTAGTAAAAGGAAGCAGCAGCAAAGCGGAGAGCTTCACGATTGATGTTTTTGTGGCTCTGTGTTATCAAATCCACAGCAGCATTGACACGAGCTTCCAGGTCTTGCAGAGGCAGAAGAGTCTCCAGCAACTGTAGATGGCAAAGAACAATTTACTGCTAGCGGAGGTGCAGCTACCAGCTTCTTCTTGTGGGCAAGAAGCATTTTCCTGTAGCAATAGTGAGTGGAGGAACATTACCTTGTTGTATTCCGTGCCTGTGAACTGCTGGACGAAGGCACACAACGCTTCAGTCTCTGCCTCAGCCTCATTCCCCGGGGTCAGCTTGGCTCGGTAGCTCTGGGAGAGAGAATGTGTCACTAGTACAGAAAGGGAAATTTTTTGCTCATTCGGTAAGATCCATAGCATGGGGCTCTGTGCTTGACACAAGTGACTGAAAAGCTTGGGAAAAATCTAAACAGGAGAAGAAACCCAGAAGCCACAAGAGAGAATACAAGTGATGTCCGATGGACTTCGCTGGGGAACTGGCCAATTGGCAAGACTTGGGAGCCCTTTGAGAGCTTTAGGCGAGGCAGAAGGGAGGATACAGGCGAGCTGGGGGGCCTGGTCAGCTTAGGACCCTTTTTTGCAGCACAACAGGTTGAATCTTCAGCACCGTGAAACACACAGGCTAGTTCCACCATTTATTATAGGACATCTGAATCAGCCCTTGTGTCCCAGCCTGCCAGCTCCTGGAGCACAGCTGCTGTTCTGCAGTCACCTACATCTCTGACCCTTTCTTTAAATGGCTCAAGTCCCATGAATCATGAGCACTGGAGAGAGGCAGAATAGTCTCTGGAAAGAGGATCCTCCCCAGAGTCTCTTACCTGAGTATATGCTGCCACAAATGAGTGGGACCCATCAAACAGGAAGAGGCTGTTGTGTGAATGGGAGGGGTTTTGCTGAGTTTGCAGCTGGGAGCACATTTCAAAGGCCACGCAGGCTCCAAAGGAGTATCCGGCAATGCGATAGGGTCCCTCGGGCTGCACTTGCTTTATACAGTCAATGTAATAGGCAGCCAGGCTCTGGATACTGTCCAGGGGAGCAGCTAGAAAGAGGAAGCAAGTCCGGGAGTTAGGAGCAGGTTGAAATCAGACAGCGAGTGACGAAGCTGCAAAGAAACACTCAGCTTTCCAAACACGTCTTTCGAGCGAGATACTGACGAGGGTTAAATCACAATTTCTGACCAAACAAGCCATCGTGCCCCACCCGCAGCTCTCTGGCACACAGGCATCCCTGCGATAGCGCACGTTCACATTCAGGCACCTGCGACAGACACGGATAGTTCTTCCCCATTTCACTTGGGAGGTGCGTGCCATTTCCAAGTGGACTCGGTCATGGGTCACTGGCGCTCGGAGCTGTGTGCGTGTCAGGCACGAAGCCCCGCTCCACGACAGCGAAAGCTGCCAAGCGAGGTTTAAAGTCAAGACGAAGAAAGAGGCAGATACCTTTTGTGCACTGGAGCCCATAGCTAGGCATGCTGAGTCTGGAGGCGAGGGAGTGGAAAACGGTGATGGACCCTTCGATGGGGTGAATGAGGAAGAGAGGGCGCTCTGTGCTCTGTACCTCATTGAGCCGGGTGACTGTTGGCCCTTCTGGGTTCACCAGCAGGTTGCTCAAATCCAATTCAGGGTGATCAGCCTGGCCAGCTTTCATCAGAAGGGATGGTTTCAACTCTGTCAAGGAAAGCACATCAGGAGAAGCCAGCTATAGCCAGGGTCTGATTAGTGGGGCAGGTAGCATAGCCCTCAGGATCATCTGGACTAGCCTCTTGCTCACCAGATCATTTCCTGCTGTAGTGGGGTGGACTGGCTGCCCACTGAGCCGGAGGTGGAGGAACCTCTCCGGGAGCCATTTTGGGCACAGCCTAGCCCCGTGCCCTCACCTGACTGGAAGGCAAGGGGCGCGGCTAGGACTATAAGAACTCTGCCAGGGAGCTCAGTCAGGGCCCAGCCTCTGAGGGAGACAGAGGCCTGCCCAGAGCTCCTGGATGACGAGGCTGAGGCCTGGCCCGGGCCTCCCATAGCTGCCTTCCCTCAGGCCAGTGAAGGCTTCCCTGCCCGGGCCGTCAAGGCCTGGCCAAGCCGGCCAGCAGGGTGACCCTCTGACCCAGAGGATCCCGGGGCTCTGCTGGGGCCTGGCGATTCTGAGGACCTGCCTGAGCCGGAGGTCCTGTTCGAGCCCTGATGCTGGCGGACACCCGGGGACCCTGAGGTCTTGCCTGATCCAGAGGACCTGCCAACTCCTGGGGACCCTGAGAGCTTGCTGGAGCTGGGGGACTGGGTTAAACCCTGATGCCCACCTGAACCCTGGGGCCTTGTGAACCTGCTGGATGCTGCAGAGCTCCAACCCACCAAGGCCTGGATTGGGCCACCCCGACCCTGCTGGGACGACACCACCCTCAACTCCCTGGCTGACCTGCTGGAGATACAGGTACCTGTGAAGGGGGAGATGGGAAGAGGCCCAGGGAGTAGCACTACTAGCAGCCCTAGGCCAGCACGTTGCGGGCTGGAGCCTCTGCTGAGCCAGTTGCAGCTGCCCTGCTGCATCCAGGGCCCTGGGCCAGGGCGCAGTGGAGTGGGTGGGCCTGTGCGCCCACCCGCCACCCACCTACTGGGTGGCAATCTCCCCCTTGCCACTGCTGCAGATGCGCTACCTGCCCTGCTCCTGAACAAGGATCTCTAAAACCTGTGTGTTTGCTGCCCCGCCTTGCTCCAGGGCCTATATACTGCGTTTGCCGCCTACTGTGTTTTGGTGCCTTGCCCTGCCCCAAGGCCTGGGCTTACTTACTGTGGGTGGTTACTGCCTGGCCAGGACAGAGGCCGGGCCTCTTAAAGGGGCAGGACAAGGACAGCTGCCCTGCCCAGAACTGTGAGCTGAGACACTTGAGTCTATATTGAACTTCTTCCCCTCTGGCCTGGACCTGAAGCAAGGCCGAGCACGTGAACTATTGCCTCTCACCCCGACCTGAAGCAAGGCCGAGCACGTGAACTATTGCCTCTCACCCCGACCTGAAGCAAGGCCGAGCACGTGAACTATTGCCTCTCACCCCGACCTGAAGCAAGGCCGAGCACGTGAACTATTGCCTCTCACCCCGACCTGAAGCAAGGCCGAGCACGTGAACTATTGCCTCTCACCCCGACCTGAAGCAAGGCCGAGCACGTGAACTATTGCCTCTCACCCCGACCTGAAGCAAGGCCGAGCACGTGAACTATTGCCTCTCACCCCGACCTGAAGCAAGGCCGAGCACGTGAACTATTGCCTCTCACCCCGACCTGAAGCAAGGCCGAGCACGTGAACTATTGCCTCTCACCCCGACCTGAAGCAAGGCCGGCTACAGACTTACTGACGGACTATTTTACGTCGCGGCTGTGTAGTGGGGCGGACTGGCCGCCCACTGAGCCAGAGGCGGAGAAACCCCTCCGGGAGCCGAACCGGCTTACACATGGCAATGAGAAATCCATGCTGAAATTCAGGCTTGGTGCTTCAGAGGTGTTGTTCTGCCAGTACCTGGAGAAAGGGGGACTCCGAAGGGATACTGCCTCTTCTCCCGCAAGCCTGGCTTTGGATTT